CATTACAGGAGACATTCAATGGGGGCTAGAACTATCATGGAGGGTCTTCAACTCGCTTCTGCCACAGAGTAGATTGATGGACATTTTTCACAGATAAAGGAATTTCAAGACCCCTCAGTGAGCATCATAGACAGATTCATTAGAGTTGAAGAAGTACAAATCAGACAGAATGTAAAGCATGAGTACTCAAGTACTTTGGGGCTTGGTTCACATGTATGGTCTTGAAGATATCTCTAGGGAGGAGTGATCTAAGATGCTTTGCCTAAAAACATTCTTTGAATGTCTTGAATTTGCGTCTTCATCTTATGTTTAGGTGACTGCATTTCGTCACCTAGGTTAATCATGAACTTGAGTACTTTTAAAGGTTTTGAGTGTGATAGGCCTGGAAGAAAAGAAAAAAAGAGGGTGAAGGAATACCAATGTGGATAACCTTGGTTAACTATGTTTTATGATTCTAATTTCCTGTCTACCTATCTTTCTTTATTCTATTTTTCCTCCCTACAATGGAGTTTTATAACAGAGGACACAGACAAGGCTCAACTCTCTCACAATACCTTTTTAGACAACATAATTCTCAGTCTCATTCTTAACCAAAATCAGCCATTATTCTTAAGTTCTTTCAGTGTCTAAGGGAAGCAAATTTTTACTTTGCCCCCTGCTCCCCCTCCTCTGTATTGTGAACCAGACATTTCTCTTTCAAGGTACGATACTTCATTTTAATGCTTCTTTTTCTTTTCCTAAATTGGCGTTTTGGAAGTTGTAGCCATTTTGTATACACTGTCACCTTCCATGAACCAATTGTCTTGCGTACCAAGCACTTGCACTAGTTTCCCATGGTCCCCACATTGCAGAGCCCCTCCAGGGTTTACCTAGGTGGAAACAGTGCCTTATGGAACGCAAGTCCTTGGTTGGACTCACTGGGTTATGCATGCAGTTTGAACTCAGGCCCATCTTCAAAGCTATATCCTCCCCCCATTCTTTACTGAGAAGGAAAGCACCCACTCTTTTTGTGCTTTCAGCCCTGGCTTGCCCTTTGCTGGAGAGGTAGGTATGATGTAGAGTTGATACCCCTTTTATCCCGGCCTTACTATCAGACTGAAGTCTGAAACTTCAGGCAAGTTTCTCCATTTTCCTTTGTCTCCAGTCCAGTGCTGCCACCAGATAAAAATGCCAAGATGAGCTTGCCTCCCAGTTATGATGTAAAGAGTTAGGAAAAGTGGTCAAGGGCCCATGCCTGAAAATCCCAGCGCTCTCTGAAGCTGAGGCAGGAGGAATTCAAGTGTAAACACAGGTTGGGCAATTTAGAGACATCATAGGACCCTGTCTCAAAATTTAAAATAAAGTTTTATTTATTTTTTTAAAGGCCTGGGAATGTAGCTTATGGTGAAGGCTGTGGGTTCACTCCTTAGTTCTACCTGAATTTTACAAGAATCCCAGGGACGATCTAATGCCAATATTTCTCAAACCCTTTAATGAAATTGAAAGGGAAGAAGTACTGCCAAAGTCATTCCTTGCTTGGACTCAACTGAAAAGGAAAGTTACAAGCCTATCTCTTTAATGAACATAGATGAAAAAATCTTCAGCAAGATATAGTCAAACAGAATGTGACAAACTGTTGAAAAGATTGTAGGGGCTGGGGAGATAGCTCTGTAGAATAGGCACTTGCCTGCAAGCACAAGGGCCTGAGTTCAATCCCCGGTTCCGCTAAAAAAAAAAAAGAAAGAACAGGTTGTATATTACAGTCAAGTAGGCTTTATCCTGGGGATGCAAAATACACAAATCAAGAAATATTAAATACCACATAAATAGAAGCAAGATTAAAAAGATATGACCATCTCATCGATACAGAAAAGGCCTTAGCCAAGATCCAGCGTCCATTCACGAGGACTCCTCAAGAAAATAAGTAGTAGAAGATGTTACCTCAACCTGACAAAAGCTATTTTTTAATTCATTTTTCCAAATTTATTATTATTATTATTATTTTTTAAATTTTATTTATTTATTTATTTGAGAGAGAGAGAGAGAGAG